AATAAATTTTGTACATAAACTCTATTAGTTAACTATATAACTATATGAATAGAAATAAAAAAAAAAAAATGGAAATACTTACTTATTTATAAATCATTCGACACAGAGTTAAAAGAGTTTTAAGAATTCAATAGCATCTTGCAGTTTCTTTCAGGTATGCTTTTCATCTTCGTTGCAAACTGAATGGGAATCTATCTTACCTGATGTTTAGTCTTGTCCTTTTGTTGTTTGTCTGAAAGATATATTATCCCTTCACCGTCACTCGTAGTAACTCTTTCTCCATCTTTAATAATATTCCTTCCCTCACAGAACAAGATCTATAAATTTACTGTAAACAAAAAGTCTATTAGAATAAAATTTAATACAAATAACAAATGAGTTTCTATATAAATTTATAGCCACAAAAGCAAATTTTTCATGGAAAAGAATCCAAAATTCTCAATCGTTCTTCTACAACAGTCATCATACTATCAAAACTGTACGTCATTGGCCCAAATAAATTAATTTTGTGCATAAACCCTATCGGTCAACTACACAGCTACTTGAATAGAAACAAAGAAGTACAAAGATCAGAAGAAATTGAATAAGGATTATTAGCTGCAGCAATGATGCATTTAGGAGCCTAACTAAGCAATTACAAGCACGTACAACGGAACACAACGGACTCTATACTTAACTTCGCAGTGTGCGCTAGTCTTTAGCATATCAAAAGAATCTTAGTCAAGCAACGGCGACATATTCTCTCTGAGACTGCTCTTCTTTTTTTTGCAACGGAACAATTTCTTCCCCAACATCATCTTGTCTTGATTTCCTAAATTGAAACTCTTTCTCCTTATCATTTTTAATAAATTCAGTCCTCTTCTCCTGCACAGGTTTCTTTAGTAAGGGACCTAGAAACAGATCCAACATGTCTTGGGTAGGATCCCCCTTTCCACTAGCAGCCGCAACCTTTTGTTCACTGGTTAAACTCAAAGCAGAATCAAAAGTTCTTTCACGAACAGATGAACCTAAAGCAAGGGTATTATAATCTCCCAATTGATTTCCTGGAGCCGTAGATTCCCTGATCAATTCGGATTCTTTGCTTGATAATCTCTGTATTCCCATATTGTTATAACCTCTAACATACTGCAAATAAATAAAACAACCTGAGATGCATAATGCAAGGGTACTTGATTACTAATTTAGATTACAAGATTGACACTCAGGGTCTCTCTGGTACAATGAAAATGTTCTCTAAATGGAAGTAGACAGTTCTAATTTAGTGTTTTTTTTTTTTTTAAAAAAAAAGAAAAATCAAATATGCAACTTTTACATAATCTCATCAATAAACATATACGAACCAACATATATGAATTTAGAACATATGTATGTTTACACTCATCACTGTAAAAGAAACAGAAGTATAACTAGATTGGGGCAAAAACATATACATTTTCTTTTGAGGACGGAAATTCTACCTCTTCAGCAATTGCGATCAGATCTTCCACAGTCAGATCCCAAGCGTCATCAAGAGAAGATAGAATTTTCGATTCATTACCACTTGCACAACCTTCGATCCTTTTGCCACCTGAAGCATCATACTTAGGTTTTACTTGATTCCATTTTCTTTTTCTCTCCTCCGATTCACATTTTGAGAAAACCAGAGATTTCTTATCTTTCGGCTGAGCCTTTGATTTTACTATCTTCACTTCTCTCACATGGTTTCACTGGTTCATCCTCAGAAGAAATGCCCAACATCCACAACAGTAGGCGCCACTGACTTCCATCATTAGAATCAATCCCAACCATTTGCTTTCTTATTCCTCCAGAAAATTAGATTCGTATTACCAACCATCAACACAACTTGAAATCAAATAAGAAAATTAAAGCGGTTGCCATAATTCTCTTTGAATTTCGATTTGGATGGCAAGGTACGAATTTCTTGTTCTTCCTCATTTGTAAGGTTAGGGTTCTCAATTACCAAGCAGACAAAAAGAAAATTCGGAACAAATTCGGTATAATACCTAGCTTTTCTGGCGATTTACTAATCAGGATGTTTTGATCCCGCTGACGAGCTTTTAGTCGGGCGATTCGCGTCGAGTGGCAAATGAAGTTGCCGTTGCACAAGACTTGTTTATGAAATTAATTTTTGTACATCTTAGGATTATTTCTTATATGTATTTTTTAATTATTATTGTCTTAAAATAATAATTTTAGATTTTCACAAGCTCATTATATCATATGTAGGGACTGAAGATAAAAGAATTATCTTTTCAGTTTATTTCAAAATATTTTTATTCTAAAAATTAATAAATAACCAAAAAAGAGAGATATGTAGGTGTATAATATAGATATATATATATATATACATATTGAGTTTTTATATTTTTTAATTTTCTTTTCTGGTTTATTATGTATACATATATTAAATTTCCTGGATTCATATACTACAATGGGAACTAGATAATAAACACCCCCTAATTGCATTAATTATTTTCTTGCTAAGTGTTGAACAAAAATATTTATAAGTATACTTTATATAGAATCATATTTATATTCTAGTTAAATGTTTGTATATGTTTTTTTTATTATTAAAAGGTATTTTAGCAGAGATATTAATAAGTAATTAAATGTAAGATATAATTCAATACATATGTAAATATATTAAGATGTCAAGTAAAAAATATCTATAAGAAAATTTTAAAAATATTTATAAATAAAAAAGTGTTTGTTAAATTTTTATATGTTAAATCTCAAATTATTATTTAAAAAACCTCAGTTATAATTTATTATTAAAGAAACATTAATAACTAAAATTATCGTGCATGACTACTTTCTTTTTTCTTTTTCTAGTGTATTATTGCAAACACCGTTTTGGGACTCCTGCATTTATTACATCATCAATTTATGTATTTGCCCTCGATTTGAATAACATAAATGATCTCCACTATTTGTTTGATTTTTCAAAGAAGAGACCTTTCAAGTTTGAGACGAGAATCACTCATCGACTCCTCTAAAATCACGACCCATCAGGCTGCACTGATGTTAAACATCAAAGAAGACGAAGGCAAAACATCACAAAGTTTCTGCAAAATATGCGTGGAGAGAAAGGAATATAATGAGATGTTCACTGGCGAAAGTTGAACCATTTTTTTTGACGAGAATGCATGAACAAACACATGATGGCAAAGGTAGAGCAACGGATACCAACAATAACGTGCCCAACTGTGAATTGCAAGTCAATGCTTGAGCTTGACACGTGTAGGGCTTTGATTTCGAAAGTTGTGAGTGATCTGTGGGAAGATATTCTGTGCGAGGAGCTGATAAAAGTATCAGAAAGATTTTATTGCCCATATAAGAACTGCTCAAGATGGTTTCTGAAGGACGTGGTTGATGAGAAACCAGAGAAGGTTATTAGAGAATCAGATTGTCTGTTCTGCCACAAACTATTTTTTGCTGCTTGTTATGTTCCATGGCATTTGGGAATTGAGTGGGAAGAGTTTCAGAGGATGAATGACAATGAAAGAGCAAATGAAGCTCTTATGCTGAGAAAGCTTACCAAAGAGAGAAATGGAGAAGGTGTCCTAATTGCAATTTCTATCTAGAAAGAAATGAGGACAACCCACATGTCGCATGCAGATATGTTTTTTTACTCACTTACTATTTTACTACAAATAGAACATAATTTTAGAAAAAAATCTCCACAGATATATAAAAATTTTACATTAACAAAATTTTTATAAGAATGAAAGGATTTCATATCAAAATTAATAAAAAATAATTTTCATACTTTTCTTAGTGAAAGATTTGCCTAATAAAAATTGGACATTTAAAACAAAAACAAAAAAGCAGTGACCAAATTACAATAAAAATGTATTAAAAATCATATTACAATAAATTCTAAATATCAGAGATTAAACTAGTAATTTATCATAAAGAATATTACTTCTTAAAGCCACATTATTAATGCTTCTTTTGTGAGGGATTTATATCATAATGTATTTCTTCATTTGTATGTGTATTTTATGTTTTGATACCTTAAAATCACCTAGTTAAATGAACATTAGAAGTAGCTGGTGTAATAAAAACTCATTATTTGTTTATATTTTCTTAAGATGAATTAATGAACATGAAAATTTATATAGAGTAACAAGGTTTAAACTTGCAAAGTTCATTAGTTAAGTTTATTGTATTACAGGTGTAACGCCAAATTTTGTTATGAATGTAGAGCAAAATGGACGAAAAGTCACGGTGGTTGTGCAGCAGACTGAGGAAAAAAAAAAACAACTTGCTCTTATGATTATTAACATGCCTATCATCTAGCACTAGAAATGCATCCAAGTAATCGTGTTGCGTTACATCTTTTAAATTGTCTCTAACGTTTATAATTATCTTTATCAACAATGAATGAAATAAACATCTTAAATTTTTCATACATATTATCAAATATTTTAAAGTTCATGTTCTCATGTGTTAAATGCTACTTATGAGTCATTGTAACACCCAAATAAAAATAAAAATTTTATTTTATTTATTTATTTGATTTTTTATTTAATTTAATTTAATTTAATTTAAGAAAATAAAAATAATAATAACGATCAAATTAGGTAAAAATATTATTTGGATTTAATTGAAATTGATTTTGGGAAAAAGGGGTGA